CACTATACCCCATCGGTAGAGGGTACTGGCACTTCTGTCATAAAAAGTGTGTTATGGCCGTCTGTAACGGGATAAAAGTAGCCACTATACCCATCGGTGAGGTACTGGCAGCTTCTGTCGCAAAGTGTGTTATGGCTGTCGGTAACAGGATAAAAGGTAGCCACCTACCCATCGGTATGGGGAACTGACACAGCTTCTGTCGCAAAGTGTTTTATGGCTGTCGGTAACAGGATAAAGTAGCCACTATACCCATCGGTGAAATTACTTACACAGCTTCTGTCGCAAAGTGTGTTTATGGCTCTCTGTAACGGGATAAAGAGTAGCCACTATACCCATCGGCATTTAGGAATTTGAAGCACAGCTTCTGTCGCAAAAATTAATGTTATGGCTATCGGTAACAGGGATAAAATGCTTTTCTAACCCATCAGTATGAGGAACTGACACAGCTTCTGTCATAAAGTGTTTTATGGCTGTCGGTAACGGTCAAAAAAGGTAGCCTACTTACTTATCGGTATGAGGTGCAGCAACTGTCTATAATAATTATTTATGACCTATTAAAACAGGACAAGTAACCCTTCTACCCATCGGTATGAGGTACTGACACAGCTTCTGTCGCAAAGTGTGTTATGGCTGTCGGTAACAGGATAAAAAGAGTAGCCACTATACCCATCGGTATGAGGGGAACAGCTTCTGTCGCAAAGTGTGTTATGGCTGTCGGTAACGGGATAAAAAAAGAGCTTCACTATACCCATCGGTATGAGGTACTGACACAGCTTCTGTCGCAAAGTGTGTTACTTATGGCTGTCGGTAACAGGGATAAAAGAGTAGCCACTATATACCATCGGTATGAGGTACTGACACAGCTTGGGTCGCAAAGTGTGTTATGGCTGTCGGTAACGGATAAAGAGTAGCCACCCATACCCATCGGTATGAGGTACTGACACAGCTTCTGTCGCAAAAGTGTGTTATGGCTGTTTGCAAATGTTTTATGCCTATCGGGATAAAGAGTAACCCATCGGATAAACAGCTTCTGTCAGCCAAAGGGTTATGTCTGTCTGTAACGGGGTAAAGCCATACCCATATGTATGAGGAACTACCACAGCCCCATCGGTATGATACTCATACCATTGGAATGAGGTACCGATTACGCTTCTATCGCTAAAAGTGTGTTATGGCTGTCTGTAACAGGATAAAAGTAGCCACTATACCCATCGGTATGAAATTGCGGCACAGCTTCTGTCATAAAAATTGTGTTATGGCTGTCGGTAACAGGATAAAGTAGCCCTATACCATCGTATGAGGAATTTGGCAACTTCAATCATAAAGAAGTGTATAAGCCCGTGTAACAGGATAAAGTAGCCACTATACCCATCAATTATGAGGTACTGACAGAACTTCTGTTGCAAAGTGTTATGGCCGTCTGTAACAGGATAAGTAGCCACTATACCCATCGGTATGAAGGAACTGACACAGCTTCTGTCGCAAAGTGTGTTATGGCTGTCGGTAACAGGATGGTAGCCACTATACCCATCAAGGTATGAGAGTACTGACATACCTTCTGTCGCAAAAGTGTATTATGGCCGTCCTTAACAGGATAAAGTAGCCACCCTATACCCATCGGTGAGGTACCAGCACAGCTTCTGTCATAAAAGTGTGTTATGGCTGTCAGTAACAGGGATAAAAGAGTAGCCACTATACCCATCAGTATGAGAGGAACAGCACAGCTTCTGTCGCAAAGTGTGTTATGGCTGTCGGTAACGGGATAAAGTAGCCACTATACCCATCAGTATGAGAACTGACACAGCTTCTGTCATAAAGTGTTTTTATGGCTGTCGTGTTAACAGGGATAAAAAGTAGCCACTATACCCATCAGTTATGAGTACACAACCTACTGTCATAAAGTGTGTTATGGCTCTCAGTAACAGGATAAAGAAGTAGCCCTATACCCATCATTATGAGTACTGAACACAGCTTCTGTCATAAAGTGTGTTATAATGTCGGTAACAGGATTCAAAGAGTAGCCACTATACCCATCAGTATAGGAACTGGCTTACAGCTTCTGTCGCAAAGTGTGTTATAGCCGTCTGTAACAGGATAAAAGTAGCCGGCCCATCGGTATAATTACTGACACAGCTTCTGTCGCAAAAGTGTGTTATAGCCGTCTGTAACAGAGATAAAAAGAGTAGCCACTATACCCATCAGTATGAGGTACCCCAACTGGCTTCATATAAAGTGTTATGGCCGTCTGTAACTGGGATAAAAGAGTAGCCACTATACCATCGGTATGAGGTACTGAAAAGCACAGCTTCTATATAAAGTGTTTTATGGCCGTCGCAGAACGGGATAAAGAGCAGCCACTATACCCATCATTTGAGGTACTGACACATTCTGTCGCAAAGTGTGTTATGGCTGTCGGTAACAGGATAAAGAGTAGCCACTATACCCATCGGTATGAGGTACTGACACAGCTTTCTGTCGCAAAGGGTGTTATGGCCGTCTGTAACTGGGATAAATGAGTAGCCACTATACCCATCGGTATGAGGTACTGACACAGCTTCTGTCGCAAAGTGTGTTATGGCTGTCGGTAACGGGATAAAGAGTAGCCACTATACCCATCGGTATGAGGTACTGACACAGCTTCTGTCGCAAAGTGTGTTATGGCTGTCGGTAACGGGATAAAGAGTAGCCACTATACCCATCGGTATGAAACTGACACAGCTTCTGTCAAAGTGTGTTTTGGCCGTCGGTAACGGATAAAAGAGTAGCCACTATACCCATCGGTATGAGAACTGACACAGCTTCTGTCGCAAAGTGTGTTATGGCTGTCGGTAACGGGATAAAGGTAGCCACTATACACATCTGCATGGGTACTGACACAGCTTCTGTCGCAAAAGTGTTATGGCCGTCTGTAACGGATAAAGAGTAGCCTATACCCATCCGTATGAGGAACTGACACAACTTCTGTCCCAAAGTGTGTTATGGCCGTTCAACGGATAACGGGTAGCCACTATACCCATCGGTATGAGTGTACTGACAGCTTCTGTCACAAAGTGTGTTATGGCCACTGTAACGGGATAAAAGTAGCCCACTATACCCATCAGGTATGAGGAACTGACACAGCTTCTGTCGCAAAAGTGTGTTATGGCTGTCGGTAACGGGATAAGTAGCCACTATACCCATCGGTATACACAGCTTCTGTCAGTATAAGGAACTACTTCAGTACACAGCTTCTGTCGCAAAAGTGTGTTATAGCCGTCTGTAACAGGATAAAGAGTAGCCACTATACTACATCGGTATGAGTACTGACACAGCTTCTGTCGCAAAGTGTGTTGTTATGCCGTCTGTAACAGGATAAGAGTAGCCACTATACCCATCAGTATGAGGTACTGCCTTACAGCTTCTGTCGCAAAAAGTGTGTTATGGCTCTCGGTAACGGGATAAAGTAAGCCACTATGCCATCGGTATGAAATTGCTGACACGGAGACTTCTGTTTCAAAGTGTGTTATGGCTGTGGTAACGGGATAAGAGTAGCCACTATACCCATCGGTATAGGGAACTGACACAGCTTCTGTCGCAAAAAGTGTGTTATGGCCGTCTGTAACAGGATAAAAAGTAGCCACGATACTACATCGGTATGGTACTGACACAGCTTCTGTCACCAAAGTGTATTTATGGCCGTCTGTAACAGGATAAAAGTAGCCACTATACCCATCGGTATGAATTGCTGGCAGCTTCTGTCTAAAAAGTGTTATGGCCGTCTGTAACAGGATAAAAGTAGCCACTATACCCATCGGTATGAGGTACTGACACAGCTTCTGTCAAAGTGTGTTATGGCCGTCTGTAACAGGATAAAAGTAGCCACTATACCCATCAGTATGAGGTACCTATTTACAGCTTCTGTCATAAAGTGTTTTATGGCTGTGGTAACAGGATGAAGTAGCCACTATACCCATCAGTATGAGGAACTGACACAGCTTCTGTCACCAAAGTGTTTTATGGCTCTCAGTAACAGGATAAAGGTAGCCACTATACCCATCGGTATGAGGTACTGACACAGCTTCTGTCACCAAAAGTGTGTTATGGCTGTCAGTAGCCAGGATAAAAAGTAGCCACTATACCCCATCGGTATGAGGAACTGACACAGCTTCTGTCACATAAAAGTGTGTTATGGCTGTCATTAACGGGATAAAAAGTAGCCTATACTTATCGGTATGAATTACTGACACAGCTTCTGTCGCAAATTGAGTTTTCTGTCGGTAACAGGATAAAAAGTAGCCACTATACCCCATCGGTATGAAGTGCCCCACACAGCTTCTGTCGCAAAGTGTGTTATGGCTGTCAGTAACGGGATAAAAAAGGTAGCCACTATACCCATCGGTATGAGGTACTGACACAGCTTCTGTCATAAAGTGTATGGCTGTATGAGTAACAGGATAAAGGTAACCACACTATACCCATCGGTATGAGGAGACAGCACAGCTTCTGTCGCAAGTGTGTTATGGCCGTCTGTAACGGGATAAAAGTAACCACTATATACCCATCGGTATGAGGTACTGATACAACTTCTGTCGCAAAAGTTAATGTTATGGCCGTCTGTAACAGGATGAGTAGCCACTATACCACATCGGTATGAGGAACTGACACAGCTTCTGTCATAAAGGGAGTGTGTTATGGCTGTCGGTAACAGGATAAAGAGTAGCCACTATACCCATCGGTATGGGGAAATTTGACAGAGCTTCTGTTGCAAAGTGTGTTATGGCTGTCGGTAACGGGATAAAGTAGCCCTATACCCATCGGTATGAGGAACTGACACAGCTTCTGTCTTAAAGTGTTTATGGCTCTCAGTAACGGGATAAAAAGTAGCCACTATACCCATCGGTATGAGGTACTGACACAGCTTCTGTCGCAAAAGTGTGTTATGGCCGTCTGTAACGGGATAAAAGTAGCCACTATACCCCATCAGTATGAGGAACTGACACAGCTTCTGTCATAAAAGTGTGTTATGGCCGTCTGTAACGGGATAAAAGAGTAGCCACTATACCCATCGGTATGAGGTACTGACACAGCTTCACATCGCAAAGTGTGTTATGGCTGTCGGTAACGGGATAAGAGTAGCCACTATATACCCATCGGTATGAGGTACAGCACAGCTTCTGTCGCAAAGTGTTTTTATGGCTGTCGGTAACGGGATAAAGAGTAGCCACTATACCCATCGGAGCGAGGTACCGACACAGCTTCTGTCGCAGCGTGTTATGGCTCTCGGTAACGGGATAAAGAGTAGCCACTATACCCATATCGGTATGAGGAACTGACAACTTCTCGCAAAGTGTGTTATGGCTGTCTGTAACAGGATAAGAGTAGCCACGATACCCATCGGTATGAGGAACTGACACAGCTTCTGTCGCAAAGTGTGTTATGGCTGTCTGTAACGGGATAAGATAGCCACCATACCCCATCGGTATGAGGTACCGACACAGCTTCTGTCGCAAAGTGTGTTATGGCTGTCTGTAACGGGATAAAGAGTAGCCACCATACCATCGGTATGAGGTATCGACAGCTTCTGTGTAAAGTGTGTTATACGTCTGTAACGGGACAAGAAGCCACTATACCCATCGGTATGAGGTACCGACACAGCTTCTGTTCCAAAAGTGTGTTATGGCTGTCGGTAACGGATAAAAAAGTAGCCACTAACACCCATCGGTATGAGGAACTGACACAGCTTCTGTCAAAAGTGTTTTATGGCTGTCGGTAATGGGATAAAAAAAGGAAGCCACTATACCCATCGGTATGGAGGTACCTGACAGCTTCTGTCGCAAAGTGTGTTATATGGCCTGTCTGTAACAGGATAAAAAGAGTAGCCACTATACCCATCGGTATGAGGTACTGACACAGCTTCTGTCGCAAAGTGTGTTATGGCCGTCTGTAACAGGATAAAAGAGTAGCCACTATACCCATCGGTATGAGGTACTGGACACAGCTTCGTCGCAAAAGTGAGTTATGGCTGTCGGTAACAGGATAAAGAGTATACACTATACCCATCGGTATGAGGAACTGACACAGCTTCTGTCGCAAAGTGTGTGGCTGTCCGGTAACGGGATAAAGAGTAGCCTATACCCATCGGTATGAGGTACTGACACAGCTTCTGTCGCAAAGTGTGTTATGGCTGTCGGTAAGCAGGATAAAGAGTAAGCCACTATACCCAATGGTATGAGGAACTGACACACCTTCTGTCGCAAAGTGTGTTATGGCTGTCGGTAACGGGATAAAAGAAGCCACCATACCCATCGGTATGAGTACCGACAGCTTCTGTAAAGTGTGTTATGGCCGTCTGTAACGGATAAGATAGCCACTATACCCATCGGTGCGAGGTACCGACACACGGTCGCAAAGTGTGTTATGGCTGTCTGTAACAGGATAAAGAGTAGCCACTATACCCATCGGTATGAGGTACTGACACAGCTTCTTGCAAAAAGTGTTATGGGCTGTCGGTAACGGGATAAAGTAGCCACTATACCCATCGGTATGAGGAACTGACACAGCTTCTGTCGCAAAGTGTGTTGCGGCTGTCGGCACAGGATAAAGAGAGCCACTATACCCATCGGTATGAGGTACTGACTGGTCGCAAAGTGTGTTATGGCTCTCGGTAACGGGATAAAGAGTAGCCACCATACCCATCGGTATGAGGTACTGACACAGCTTCTGTCGCAAAGTGTGTTATGGCTGTCAGTAACAGGATAAGAGTAGCCACTATACCCATCGGTATGAGGAACCGACACAGCTTCTGTCGCAAAGTGTGTTATGCCCGTCTGTAACGGATAAAGAGTAGCCACGATACCCATCGGTGGTACTGACACATGGCTTCTGTAACATAAAAGTAGCCATCATACCCATTGAGGTACTGACACATGGCAAAGTCTGTAACCGGTAAGGATAAAGAGTAGCCACTATACCCATCGGTATGAGGTACTGACACAGCTTCTGTCGCAAAGTGTGTTATGGCTGTCGGTAACAGGATAAAAGAGTAGCCACTATACCCATCGGTATGAGGAACCGACACAGCTTCTGTCGCAAAGTGTGTTATGGCTGTCGGTAACGGATAAAGAGTAAGCCACTATACCCCATCGGTATGAAATTACTGACACAGCTTCTGTCGCAGCGTTATGGCTGTCGGTAACGGATAAAAGAGTAGCCACTATACCCATCAGTATGAGAACTGACACAGCTTCTGTCGCAAAAAATTGTGTTATGGCGTCTGTAACGGGATAAAGTAGCCACTATACCCATCGGTATGAGGTACTGACACAGCTTCTGTCATAAAGTGTGTTATATTGTCGGTAACGGATAAAAGAGTAGCCACTATACCCATCGGTATGAGGGTAACAGCCGGTCGCAAAGTGTGTTATGGCCGTCTGTAACGGACAAAGAGTAACACTATTCCCATCTGTGGACAAAGCGTGTTATGGCCGTCTGTAACGGGATAAAGAGCAGCCACCATAAATTATATCGGTATGAGGGGAATCACAACTTCTGTCGCAAAGTGTGTTATGGCTGTCGGTAACGGACAAAGAGTAGCCACTATACCCGGTATCAGTGACCGACACAGCTTCACGGGCTGTCGGTAACGGACAAAGAGCCACCATACCCATCGGTATCGGTAAAATTCTGTTTTATGGCTGTCGGTAACGGGATAAGAAAAGCCCACTATACCCATCGGTATGAGGAACTGACACAGCCTTCTGTCGCAAAGTGTGTTATGGCTGTCGGTAACGGGATAAAGAGTAGCCACTATACCCATCGGTATGAGGTACTGACACAGCTTCTGTTCAAAAGTGTGTTATGCCCGTCTGTAACGGGATAAAGAGTAGCCACTATACCCATCGGTATGAGGTACTGACACAGCTTCTGTCGCAAAGTGTATGTTATGGCTGTCGGTAACGGGATAGTAGCCACTATACCCATCGGTATGAGGAACTGACACAGCTTCTGTCATAAAAGTGTGTTATGGCTGTCGGTAACGGGATAAAGAGTAGCCACTATACCCATCGGTATGAGGAACTGACACAGCTTCTGTCGCAAAGTGTGTTATGGCTGTCTAACGGATAAACAGGATAATCGTGGTATGAGGTGCCCACACACGTCGCAAAAGTGTTATGGCTCTCGGTAACGGGACAAAAAGAGCCACTATACCCATCGGTTGAGGTACCCACAAAAGTGTCGCAAAGTAGCTGTCGGTAACGGGATAAGAGTAGCCACTATACCCCATCGGTATGAGGAACTGACACAGCTTCGTCGCAAAGTGTGTTATGGCTGTCGGTAACAGGATACAGCTTCTGTCGCAAACGTGTTATACCCATCTGTAACGGACAAAGAGAACGAAAGGTACCGACACAGCTTCTGTCGCAAAGTGTGTTATGGCTGTCGGTAACGGGATAAAGAGTAGTAGCCACTATACCCATCGGTATGGGCCGTCTGTAACGGGATTATTACCACACCATTATGATCTAACACAGCTTCTGTCGCAAAGTGTATGGCATCAATAACGGATAAAAGAAGCATACTATACCCATCAGTATGAGGAACTGACACAGCTTCTGTCGCAAAGTGTGTTATGGCTGTCTGTAACAGGATAAAGAGTAGCCACTATACCCATCGGTATGAGGTACTGACACAGCTTGTCGCAAAGTGTGTTGGCTGTCAGTAACAGGATAAAAGAGTAGCCACCATACCCCATCGGTATGAGGTACCGACACAGCTTCTGTCATAAAGTGTGTTATAATACCGTCTGTAACGGGATAAAGAGTAGCCACCATACCCATCGGTATGGAGTACCGACATTTCGTCGCATTTTGTTATGGCTGTCGGTAACGGGATAAAAAGCTACCATACCCATGTTGAGGAAATGGCTGTCGCAAAGTGTTTTATGGGTAACACGACAAAGAGCAGCCACTATACCCATCGGTATGAGGTACCGACACAGTTTGTCGCAAAGTGTGTTATGGCTGTCGGTAACGGATAAAGAGTAGCCACTATACCCATCGCAGGCGATACCCATCGGTATGGATCGCAACGGGATAAAGAACCCCACAACCCATTCTGTCGCAAAAGTGTGTTATGGCTGTCGGTAACAGGATAAAGAGTAGCCACTATACCCATCGGTATGAAGGAACTGACACAGCTTCTGTCGCAAAGTGTGTTATGGCTCTCGGTAACGGATAAAAGAGTAGCCACTATACCCATCGGTATGAGGTACTGACACAGCTTCTGTCGCAAAGTGTGTTATGGCTGTCATTAACAGGATAAAGAGTAGCCACTATACCCATCGGTATGAGGAACTGACACCTTCTGTCGCAAAGTGTGTGTTATGGCACATAGTAACGGATAAAATAATACTATACCCATCAGTATGAGGAACTGACACAGCTTCTGTCCCGCGTTGTGGGCTGTCTGTAACGGGATAAAGAGTAGCCACTATACCATCGGTATGAGGTACTGACACAGCTTCTGGTCGCAAAGTGTGTTATGGCCGTCTATAACGGGATAAAGAGCCCCATACCCATCGGTATGAGGTACTGACAGAGCTTCGTTGCTGCGGCTGTCTTAAGCCACTATACCCATTTGTATGAGGAACTGACAGCTTCTGGTCGCAGCGTTATGGCTGTCGGTAACAGGACAGTGAGCAGCCACTATACCCATCGGTATGAGGTACTGACACACTGTCGCAAAGTGTTTGGCTGTCTGTCGGATAAAAGTACCTATGTGTGTTGAGGTGGCTGTCCGTCGCGTGGGATAAGAGTAACCCTACTATACCCATCGGTATGAGGAACTGACACAGCTTCTGTCCCAAAGTGTGTTATGGCTGTCAGTAACAGGATAAAGAGTAGCCACTATACCCATCAGTATGAGGAACTGACACAGCTTCTGTCGCAAAGTGTTTTATGGCCGTCGGTAACGGTATGAGGAAGCCACTATACCCATCGGTATGAGGTACCGACACAGCTTCTGTCGCAAAGTGTGTTATGGCTCGGTAACGGATAAAGAGTAGCCACTATACCATCGGTGTAAGACACACAGCTTCTGTCGCAAAGTGTGTTATGGCTGTCGGTAACGGATAAAGAGTAGCCACTATACCCATCGGTGTGAGTGAACTGACAGCTTCTGTCGCAAAGTGTGTTATGGCTGTCGGTAACGGGGATAAGGTAGCCACTATACCCATCGGTATGAGGTACTTCTGACACAAAGTGTGTTTGGCTGTCAGTCCATACTATTTGTGGTATGCTGGCTGTCGGGTCTGTAGCGGGAAATTAAGCCACTATACCCATCGGTATGAGGTACCCAGCACAGCTTCTGTCGCAAAGTGTGTTATGGCTGTCGGTAACGGGATAAAGAGTAGCCACTATACCCATCGGTATGAGGTACTGACACAGCTTCTGTCGCAAAAGTGTGTTATAGCCGTCTGTAACGGGATAAAGAGTAGCCACTATACCCATCGGCGAGGTACTGACACAGCTTCTGTCGCAAAGTGTGTTATGGGCTGTCAGTAACAGGATAAAGAGCCACTATACCCCATCGGTATGAGGTACTGACACCTTCTGTCGCAAAGTGTGTTATGGCTCTCGGTAACGGGATAAAAGCAGCCACTATACCCCATCGGTATGAGGTCGACAAGCTTCTGTCGCAAAGTGTGTTATGGCTGTCGGTAACAGGATAAAGGTAGCCACTATACCCATCGGTATGAGGAACTGACACAGCTTCTGTCGCAAAGTGTGTTATGGCCGTCGGTAACGGGATAAAGAGTAGCCACCCATCGGTATGAGGTACTGGCAGCTTCTGTCCATCGGTATGGGATAAAAGGAACCCATCGAGCAGAGGTACTGACACAGCTTCTGTCGCAAAGTGTGTTATTTGCTTCTGGCAAAGTGTGTCGGTAACAGGATAAAAGAGTAGCCACTATACCCATCGGTATGAGGAACTGACACAGCTTCTGTCGCAAAAGTGTGTTTGGCATGTCGGTACGGAGCTTCTGTAAAAGATTTAGCCGGTAACAGGATAAAGAGTACCCTATATCGGTATGAGGTACTGACACAGCTTCTGCCATAAAGCGTGTTATGGCTGACGGTAACGGGATTCTGTCATAATACCCATCGGTATGAGGTTACAGCTTCTGTCGCAAAGTGTGTTATGGCTGGGTAACGGGATAAAAGAGTAGCCACTATACCCATCGGTATGAGGTACTGACACAGCTTCTGTCGCAAAGTGTGTTATGGCTGTCGGTAACGGGATAAAAGTAGCCACCATACCCATCGGTATGAGGTACTGACACAGCTTCTGTCCAAAGTGTGTTATGGCTGTCGGTAACAGGATAAAAAATAGCCCTCTACCCATCGGTATGAGGACTGATGACAACTTCTGTCACCGAAGTGTGTTATGGCTGTCGGTAACGGATAAAGAGTAGCCACTATACCCATCGGTATGAGGAACCACAGCCTGTCGCTGTTATGGCAGTCGGTAACGGATAATGTAGCCACTATACCCATCGGTATGAGTACCGACACAGCTTCTGTCGCAAAGTGTGTTATGGCCCGTCTGTAACAGGTGTGTTATGACACAGCTTCTGTCGCAAATTATTGTTATCCCGGTAACAGGATAAAAAGTAGCCACTATACCCATCGGTATGAATTGCCTGACACAGCTTCTGTCGCAAAGTGTGTTATGGCTGTCGGTAACGGGAAGAGTAGCCACTATACCCATCGGTATGAGGAACTTACCCATCGGTTATGGGCGAGGAACTGACACCCAGCTTCTGTCGCAAAGTGTGTTATGGGCTGTCTGTAACGGGATAAAGAGTAGCCACTATACCCATCGGTATGAGGTACTGACACAGCTTCTGTCGCAAAGTGTGTTATGGCCGGCTGTCGGTAACGGGATAAAAAGCTTCTGTCACAAAGTGTGTTATGGCCAGTAACTATGCTATACCCATCGGTATGAGGTACTGACACAGCTTCTGTCGCAAGAGTGTTTTGGCCGTCTGTAACGGGATAAAGAGCCACTATACCCATCGGTATGAGGTACTGACACAGCTTCTGTCGCAAAGTGTATGGCTCTCGGTAACCGGATAAAGAGCAGCCACTATACCCATCGGTATGAGGTACTGACAGCTTCTGTCATAAAGTGTGTTATGGCTGTCGGTAACGGGATGGCCGTCGGTTGGTAACGGATAAAGTGTTATGGCTGTCGGTAACAGGATAAGAGTAGCCACTATACCCATCAGTATGAGGAACTGACACAGCTTCTGTCGCAAAGTGTGTTATGGCTGTCGGTAACGGGATGAAGTAGCCACTATACCCATCGGTATGAGGTACTGACACAGCTTCTGTCGCAAAAGTGTTGTAACAGCATCGTAACGGATAAAGAGTAATACCTATACCATCGGTATGAGGTGCTGACACAGCTTCTGTCGCAAAAGTGTTATGGCTGTCGGTAACGGGATAAAGAGTAGCCACCATACCCATCGGTATGAGGTACTGACACAGCTTCTGTCGCAAAGTGAGTTATGGCTGTCGGTAACGGGATAAAAAGAGCCACTATTCCCATACTGAGCCTTCTGTCGCAAAGTGTGTTATCGGTAACGGGATGAGGAGCCACGACCCATCGTTATCTCTGTCATAAAGTGTGTTATGGCTGTCAGTAACAGGATAAAGAGAGTAGCCACTATACCCATCGGTATGAGGTACTGACACAGCTTCTGTCGCAAAGTGTGTTATGGCTGTCGGTAACGGGATAAAGAGTAGCCACTATACCCATCGGTAGGTACTGAGCTTCTGGAATGGCCGTCTGACGGTCCCAAAAAGTGTGTTATGGCTGTCAGTAACAGGATAAAGTAGCCACTATACCCCATCGGTATGAGGTCGCAAAGTGTGATGGCCTTCTGTCGCAAAGTGTGTATTACTGGCTTCTGTCGTGTTATGGCTGTCGGATAAAGAGTAGCCACTATACCCATCGGTATGAGGTACCGACACAGCTTCTGTCGCAAAGTGTGTTATGGCTGTCAGTAACGGGATAAAGAGTAGCCACTATACCCATCGGTATGAGGTACTGACAGAGTGTGTGCATGGCTGTTAACAGGATGTACAGGCGCTTCTGTCGCAAAGTGTGTTTATGGCTCTAACGGGATAAAAGAGTAGCCACTATACCCCATCGGTATGAGGAACTGGACCTTCTGTCGCAAAGTGTGTTATGGCTGTCGGTAACAGGATATAAACCCAGTGAAGACGGCACAGCAAAGTGTGTTATGGCCGTCTGTAACGGGATATACCCATCGGTATGAGGTACCGACACAGCTTCTGTCGCGGTATGGCCGTCTCTTAACAGGAGAGTACCACTATACCCATCAATTATGAGGTACCGGACAGCTTCTGTCGCAAAGTGTGTTATGGCCGTCTGTAACGGGATAAAGTAGCCACTATACCCATCGGTATGAGGGAACTGACACAGCTTCTGTTCTGTCTGTAACAGGATAAAGTGTCGGTTGGCGGCTGTCAAAGGTAACTGTTGATAAAGGGATAAAAGAGTAGCCACTATACCCATCAGTATGAGGAACCGACACAGCTTCTGTCGCAAAGCGTTTTATGGCCACTATACCCATCGGTACTAACGGGATAAAGTTATGGCCGCCACTATACCCATCGGTATGGAGGTACTGACACACAGCTTCTGTCGCAAAGTGTGTTATGGCTGTCGACGGGATCGGTAACACTGGCAACTTCTGGATAAGAGTAGCCACTATACCCATCGGTATGAGTACCGACACAGCTTCTGTCGCAAAGTGTGTTATGGCTGTCGGTAACGGGAAAGAGTAGCCACTATACCCATCGGTATGAGGAACAAAGTGTGTTATGACACAGCCACCCATCGGTGGGGGTACTGTGGCTTCTGTCATAAAGTGTGTTATGGCTGTCGGTAACGGGATAAAGAGTAGCCACTATACCCATCGGTATGAGGTACCGACAGCTTCTGTCGCAAAAGTGTGTTATGGTTGTCGGTAACGGATAAAAGTAGCCACTATACCCATCGGTAGCGAGGTACCGACACAGCTTCTGTCGCAAAGTGTGTTGGCGGCTGTCGGTAACGGGATAAAGAGTAGCCACTATACCCCATCGGTATGAGGTACCGACACAGCTTCTGTCGCAAAGCAGGCCGTCGGTAACGGATAAAGAGTAGCCACCACCCATCGTGGTATGGAGGTATGGCCGTCTGTAACGGGATAAAGAGTATACTATACCCATCAGTGTGAGGTAAAGGCAACTTCTGTTATGCCGTCTGTAACAGGATAAAAAGAGCCACTATCCCATCAGTATGAGGTGCCCGACACAGCTTCTGGGTCGCAAAGTGTGTTATGGCTGTGGTAACGGATAAAGAGTAGCCACTATACCCCATCGGTATGAGGAACTGACACAGCTTCTGTCGCAAAGTGTGTTATGGCTGTCGGTAACAGGATAAAGAGTATACTATACCCATCTATACCCATCGGTATGAGGGTACTGACACAGCTTTTTCGCAAAGTGTGTTATGGCCGTCTGTAACAGGATAAAGAGTAGCCACCATACCCATCGGTATGAGGTACTGACACAGCTTCTGTCGCAAAGTGTGTTGCGGCTGTCGGTAACGGATAAAGAGTAGCCACTATACCCATCGGTATGAGGTACCACAGAGGTACTGACACGGCTGTCGGTAACGGTCGAGCCACAAAGTGTGTTATGGCTGTCGGTAACAGGATAAATAAAGAGTAGCCACTATACCCATCGGTATGAGGGTACTGACACAGCTTCTGTCCCAAAGTGTTATGGCTGTCGGTAACGGGATAAAGAGGTAGCCACTATACCCATCGGTATGAGGTACTGACACAGCTTCTGTCAAAGTGTGTTATGGCTGTCGGTAACGGATAAAGAGTAGCCACTATACCCCCATGAGGAACTGACACAGCTTCTGTCCAAAGTGTGTTATGGCTGTCGGTAACGGGATAAAAGTAGCCCACTATACCCAGCTTCTGTCGGGATGTTAGGTAACAGGATAAAGAGTAGCCACTGACACATCGGTATCGCAAAGTGTGTTATGGCTGTGTAACGGGATAAAAGAGTAGCCACTATACCCATCGGTATGAGGTACTGACACAGCTTCTGTCGCAAAGTGTGTTATGGCCGTCGGTAACAGGATAAAGCCACTATACCCATCGGTAGCTATTACCATCAGCTTCTTATGAGGAACTAACGGGATACAGCCACTATCTGTCAGCCCCAAAGTGTGTTATGGCTGTCTGTAACGGGATAAAAAGAGTAGCCACTATACCCATCGGTGGTGAGGCCCGTCTGTAACGGGATAAGCTTCTGTCGCAAAGTGTGTAAAGTGTTATGGCCGTCTGTAACAGGATAAAGAGTAGCCACTATACCCATCGGTATGAGGTATGACACAGCTTCTTCTGTTATGGCCGTCTGCAAAGTATGTGCTTCTTATGGCCGTCTGTAACAGGATAAAGAGTAGCCACTATACCCATCGGTATGAGGTACTGACCACAGCTTCTGTCACAAAAGTGTGTTATGGCTGTCGGTAAAGGGATAAAGAGTAGCCACTATACCCATCAGTATGAGGAACGACACAGCTTCTGTCGCAAAGTGTTTTTATGGCTGTCGGTAAAGGGATAAAGAGTAGCCACTATACCCATCAGTATTATGAGGAACTGACACAGCTTCTGTCACAAAGTGTGTTATGGCTGTCGGTAACAGGATAAAGAGTAGCCACTATACCCATCGGTATGAGGTACTGACCTGGCTTCTGTCATAAAAGTGTGTGGCCGTCTGTAACAGGATAAAAGTAGCCACTATACCATCGGTATGAGAGGTACTGGCACACATGGCTGTATCGTAACAGGATAAAGTAGCCACTATACCCATCAGTATGAGGAACTGCTTCTGTCGCAAAATGGCGGTGGGATAAAAGAGTAGCCACTATACCCATCAGTATGAGTACTGACACAGCTTCTGTCGCAAAGTGTGTTATGGCTGGATAAAGGATAAGAGTAGCCACTATACCCATGGCTGACACAGCTTCTGTCGCAAAGTGTGTTATGGCTGTCGGTAACGGATAGCCACTACCCATACCCAGCTTCTGTATGAGGAATGGCTGTCGGTAACGGGATAAAGGTAGCCGTATACCCATGGCGGTACTGTCGCTTCTGTAAAGTGGATGGCCGTCTGTAAAGATGACCCATCGGTATGAGGTACTGACACAGCTTCTGTCGCAAAGTGTGTTATGGCTGTCGGTAACGGGATAAAAGAGTAGCCACTATACCCATCGGTATGAGGTACTGACACAGCTTTTGTCGCAGTGTGTTATGGCTGTCTGTAACGGGATAAAGAGTAGCCACCATACCCATCCCAAAGAGTGTGTTATGGCTGTCAGTAACAGGAGGCACTATACCCATCAGTGTGAAGTGCTGACACAGCTTCTGTCAAAGTGTGTTATGGCTGTCGGTAACGGTATAAAGGTGCCACTATACCCATCGGTAACGGATGGCTGTCAGTAACAGGATAAGAGCAGCCACTATACCCATCGGTATGAGGAACTGACACAGCTTCTGTCGCAAAGCGTGTTATGGCTGTCGGTAACGGATAAAGAGTAGCCACTATACCCCATCGGTATGAGGTACTGACAGCTTCTGTCGCAAAGTGTGTTATGGCTGTCGGTAACGGGATAAAAGTAGCCACTAGCCAATCGGTATGATACTGACCAGCTTCTGTCGCGGTATGGCTGTCGGTAACGGGATAGGCCACTATACCCATCGGTACAGCTTACAACTCGTAAAGTGTGTTATGGCTGTCGGTAACGGATAAAGAGATCGGTACCATACCCAGCTTCTGTCGCAAAGGTTATGCCGTCTGTAACCGAGTAGCCACTATACCCATCGGTATGAGGTACTGTACAGCCTGTCATAAAAAGTGTGTTATGGCTGTCTGTAACGGATAAAGAGTAGCCACTACCCCATCGGTATGAGGTACTGACACAGCTTCTGTCGCAAGTGTTTATGGCTGTGTTAACGGTAGCCACTATACCCATCGGATAAAGACACAGCTTCTGTCCCATACCCATCGGTAGGATAAAGGTAGCCACTATACCCATCGGTTGTACTGCAGCTTCTGTCGCGGTGTTATGGCTGTCGGTAACGGGATAAAGAGTAATACTATACCCATCGGTATGAGGTACTGACACAGCTTCTGTCGCAAAGTGTGTTATGGCTGTCGGTAACAGGATAAAGAGTAGCCACTATACCCATCAGCTTCTGTCTGAGGTATGGCTGTCAGTAACAGGATGTCTCGCAAATTATGGCACAGCTCCGTCTGGCTGGATAAGAGTAGCCACTATACCCATCGGTATGAGGTACTGACACAGCTTCTGTCGCAAAGTGTTATGGCTGTGTTGGATAAAGAGTGCCGTCTATACCCATCGGATGAGGAACCGACAGCTTCTGTCGCAAAGTGTGTTATGGCTGTCGGCAACGGATAAAGAGTAGCCACTATACCCATCAGTATGAGGAACGCCCACAGCTTCTGTCGCAAAGTGTGTTATGGCCTGTCTGTAACGGGATAAAAGAGTAGCCACTATACCCATCGGTATGAGGTACTGGACAGCTTCTGTCGCAAAGTGTGTTATGGCCGTCGGTAACGGGATAAAGAGTAGCCACTATACCCATCGGTATGAGGTACTGACACAGCTTCTGTCGCAAAGTGTGTTATATTGTCGCACGGATAAAGATAGCCACTATACCCATCGGTATGAGGAACTGACACAGCTTCTGTCATAGTGCGTGTTATGGCCGTCGGTAACGGGATAAAAGTAGCCACTATACCCATCGGTATGAGGTGCACGACACAGCTTCTGTCGCAAAGTGTGTTATGGCTGTCGGTAACGGGATAAAGAGTAGCCACTATACCCATCGGTATGAGGAACTGACACAGCTTCTGTCGCCTATACCCATCGGTAAAGTGCTTGTTATGGCTGTCGGTAACAGGATAAAGAGTAGCCACTATACCCATCGGTATGAGGAAGCTTCTGACATGGCTTCTGTCGCAAAGCTTCTGTTAGTGTGTATGGCTGTCGGTAACGGGATAAAGAGTAGGTGCACACAACTTCTGTCATAAAGTGAGGTACGGGATGACACATCGGATAGTAGCCACACTATACACATCGGTATGAGGTACTGACACAGCTTCTGTCGCAAAGTGTGTTATGGCTGTCTGTAACGGGATAAAGAGTAGCCACTATACCCATCGGTATGAGGTACTGACACAGCTTCTGTCGCAAAGTGTGTTATGGCTGTCGGTAACAGGATAAAGAGTAGCCCTATACCCATCGGCGAGGAACTGACATGCTTCTGTCGCAAAGTGTTATGGCTCTCGGTAACGGGATAAAGAGTAGCCACTATACCCATCGGTATGAGGTACCGACACAGCTTCTGTCGCAAAGTGTGTTATGGCTGTCGGTAACAGGATAAAGAGTAGCCACTATACCCATCGGCATGAGGTACCGACACAGCTTCTGTCGCAAAAGTGTGTTATGGCTGTATCGGTAACGGGATAAAGAGCCCTATACCCATCGGTATGAGGTACTGACACAGCTACTGTCCCAAAGTGTGTTATGGCTGTCGGTAACGGATAAAGAGTAGCCACTACCCCATCGGTATGAGGAACTGACACAGCTTCTGTCGCAAAGTGTGTGCGGCCGTCTGTAACGGGATAAAAAGAGTAGCCACGATACCCATCGGTATGAGTACTGACACAGCTTCTGTCGCAAAGTGTGTTATGGCTGTCTGTAACAGGATAAAGTAGCCACTGCCCATCGGTGAAATTACTAGCTTCTGTCCAAATCTGTCAGTAACAGGAGAGAGTAGCCACTATACCCCATCTGACACAGCTTCTGTCCCAAAAGTGTGTTATGGCCGTCTGTAACAGGATAAGAGTAGCCCTATACCCATCGGTATGAGGTACTGACACAGCCCTGTGTCAAAGTGTGTTATGGCTGTCAGTAACAGGATAAAAGAAATTAGCCAATTCTGTCCCAAAGTGTGTTATCGGTAATGGAGAGGTACCCACGGTATGAACTGACACCTTCTGTCGCAAAAGTGTGTTATGGCTGTCGGTAACGGGATAAAGAGTAGCCACTATACCCATCAGTATGAGGAACTGACACAGCTTCTGTCGCAAAAGTGTTTTATGGCTGTCGGTAACAGGATAAGAGTAGCCACTATACCCATCGGTATGAGGTACTGACACAGCTTCTGTCAAAGTGTGTGTTATGGCTGTCGGTAACGGATAAAAGAGTATACACTATACCCATCGGTATGAGGTACTGACACACAGCTTCTGTCGCAAAGTGTGCCTGGCTGTCGGTAACAGGATAAGGGATACCAAAGAGTAGCCACAAAGGTGTGTTATACTTGGGTTAAGAGTAGCCCATCAATCGGTATGAGGTACTGACACAGCTTCTGTCGCAAAGTGTGTTATGGCTGTCGGTAACGGGATAAAAAAGAGTAGCCACTATACCCATCGGTATGAGGAACTGACACAGTTTCTGTCGCAAAGTGTGTTATATGGCTGTCGGTAACGGGATAAAGAGTAGCCACTATACCATACCCATCACAGCTTCTGTCCCAAAGTATTATGGCTGTCGGTAACGGGATAAAGAGTAGCCACTATACCCCATCGGTATGTAGCTTCTGTCATAAAATTATTGTTATGGCTGTCGGTAACAGCTATGGGATAAAAGTGTCTGTTATGTTATGGCTGTCGGTAACGGGATAAAAGAGAATACCATACCCATCGGTATGAGGCACCGACACAGCTTCATCGCAAAGTGTGTTATGGCTGTCGTAACAGGATAAAAGAGTAGCCACTATACCCATCAGGCGAGGTACTGACACAGCCCTTCTGTCGCAAAGTGTTATGGCTGTCTGTAACAGGATAAAAGAGTAGCCACTATACCCATCAGTATGAGGTACTGACACAGCTTCTGTCAAAATTATGGCTGTCGGTAACAGGATACTATACCCATCGGTATGAAACCTTCTGTTCTGTCAAAGTGTGTTATGGCTGTCTGTAACAGGATAAAGAGTAGCCACTATATACCCATCAGTGTAAGGGTACTGACAGTTTCTGTCGCAAAGTGTGTTATGGCTGTCGGTAACGGATAAAGAGTAATACCATACCCATCGGTATGAGTGAACTGACACAGCTTCGTCGCAAAGTGTGTTATGGCTGTCGGTAACGGGATAAAGAGTAGCCACTATACCCATCGGTATGAGGTACCGACACAGCTTCTGTCGCAAAGTGTGTTATGGCTGTCGGCACGGATAAAGAGCAGCCACCATACCCATCGGTAGCGAGGAACTGTCGCATGGCTGTCGGTAACGGATGTCATACCCAATGAGCGTGCTTCTGTAGTGTGTTGCGGCTGCCGGTAACGGACAAAGAGTAGCCACGCTATACCCATGAGGTACCGACACAGCTTCTGTCGCAAAGTTGTGTTATGGCTGTCTGTAACGGAGAAGATAAAGAGCAGCCACTATACCCATCGGTATGGAACTGACACAGCTTCTGTCGCAAAGTGTGTTATGGCTGTCGGTAACGGGATAAACCCAAGCCACTATAGTACTGACACAGCTTCTGTCATAAAGTGTGTTATGGCCGTCTGTAACAGGATAAAAGAGTAGCCACTATACCCATCGGTATGAGGTACTGACACAGCTTCTGTCATAAAAGTGTTATGGCTGTCGGTAACAGGATAAAAAGAGTAGCCCACTATACCCATCAGTGCCAGGGTACTGACACAGCTTCTGTCGCAAAGTGTGTTATGGCACCTCATTAACAGGATAAAAAAAAGAGTAGCCACTACCCATCGGTATGAGGGCAACTGGCTATCCCCAGTGTGGTATAGCAGCTGTCGGTAACAGGATAAAGTAGCCACTATACCCATCGGTATCGTTACTGACACAGCTTCTGTCGCAAAGAGTGTGTTATGGCTGTCGGTAACGGTATAAAAGGTAGCCACTATACCCATCGGTATGAGGAACTGACACAGCTTCTGTCCCAAAGTGTGTTATGGCACAGCCGGTAACAGGATAAAGAGTAGCCACTATACCCATCGGTGTGAGGTACTGACACAACTTCTGTCGCAAAGTGTGTTATGGCTGTCGGTAACGGTATAAGAGTAGCCACT